AGAAATTTCACAGATTGAAATCATGAGTCAGTTGAAGCTAGACAACCATTGAAAACCTGGAAGCACTGGACGGCCGTTTAGTCCTAGTATGGGACTCCTCAGCAGTGCGCATCCACGATCCCGCACCACGCGGGGCTCGAACCCAGGACCTACTGGCTTCGCGCGCGAGCACTTAACCACTAGACCACTGAGCCGGCATCCAACGGTGTTAATGTCTAACTTCAACCAATCCACGAAGTTGCGCTACCGTACACCATTGTCTTCAGTGAGTTCCTATCTCACAACAGACATGGAAATACTTAACTGAGTAACAAATCGTATGTGTGTGAGTGTGTATGTATGTATGCATGTGTGAGAGATTGATATGAAGGAATAAATAAAGTTCAAGTTCAAGGATGAAAAACTTGATAATGAAAGATCGATGTGCATGTCTAAACATAAATTGTATTGTTTAAAAAACTCATTCAGTTCTTTCAATAATAATAACGATGCATGTGATATTAAAAACAGGTTTAAACAAGAGATAAGTTCCAAATTTACTTGTCAAACGGAATTTGCCAGGTAGTTGCCATTTGAATACCATCTTTTCGGTTTAGGCTGTTCTTGTTCACACATATGTGCAGAGCTTCTGCTGTCAATCTTTCTTTATGGGTGTTAAAACCTTTCTGAAGTATTTTGGTCCCTTCAAAATTAATCTTCTGTTCTGTTTCTAACGCATGTAACGCAATCGCTGATTTATTTTCAAGTTTCTTTAAATCTACCGAGGATTTTGGAACATTTTTCAAGCATTGTTTGTGTTCCTTCAATCTTACATTTAATTGCCTGGATGTTTCTCCAACATAGGTAGCATTACAGTCATGACAGTGAATCTCATACACAATGTTCTGTTGTTCATCCTTAGCTAACTAACACTTATCTCTATAATTTATATCATCTCATATGTATTATTTTCTAATCAACTATTCTATCCTATTACAGATTTACTCATTATATACATTGTATAAGAAAACAATTATCCTGATAGAAGAGAATTGAAAAGAAATTTTGTTTGTTTATTTTTTTCAACAACAACAAGAAACCCCCCCATAAAAAAAATAATCAAGAATACAAAATTTAATAAAATTCCAATTCATGCACAATTATTTTTTCCTTTTTTTTGAATTGAAATCTAAAACAGATTGTTTATTGTTACTATGGTTACTATCACCACCACCACCACTACTACTACTGCTGCTACGACTACTAATATCATTTATATCAGTAGTAGTAGTAGTAGTTTTTCTTCTTCTTCTTCTTCAAATATCTACATGATACTGCATTGTTACTTATTTTTATTTGCATACATTATTAAATTGAACTTTATTTGGTTTGTGTTATTATTTTTGTAAGAATTCAGTATAGATAATGCGTGCAATTCTATACATACATACATACATAAACAGATACCTATAACCCATATACATTTCAATCATGATAACCAATCCAATTTCTTCCATGATATAAAGAAAGGAAACAGAAAGAAAGAACTTACTTGTTGCTGTGGTTGTTGACAGTTTAATCTTTTATTCAACTATTGTTGTGGTTTACTTTACGAATCTAAATGTAAATAGAATTTTGTTGATTACTCGTTTGATATTTTGTGTCTGGTATTATGATGTTTATTTTGTTTGTTTGTTTTTTTCAAAATGAAAAGTCTTCCTAAATTACAATTTTCCACAAAAGAAAATGCACATAAATATTGTAATAATGATAATATTAATACTACTTATTTCTTATACATACTACTTATTTACTTGTATCTTTTCATTGATGTTTAAGACTACAATTGATCAGTCTCTTATTGGGATAGGTGCATCTTGTGTGGATTGCCTCGACATTGCATTAAGTCACAAACTTTGTGAGCAATGATAGATAGTGGCTAGTAGTTGGGATATAAGACACGTGTTTCGTCCTGTTTGGGATTCGTCAGATGGATGTACCTACATCTCAGAGGTGATTTTCACTTCAGAACTCAAACCCACCAGTGTTCGCTTCGAACGCCGTCACATTCTCCACTTAGCTACTGAGTCCTTATAGCCACTTGCATTTACAATGGAGTGATGTTTAAATTCACTTGGTATTGTTTGCTTGAATCTTCCCATTGTTATTTAGGACTGGAACTGATCGGTCTCTTATTGGCATATGTGCATCCTATGTGGATTGCCTCAAGTCACAAGCTTTTTGAGCAAAGATAGGTAGGGGCTAGCAGTGGAATACAGGACGCGTGCTTCATCTTCCCATTGATATTTAGGATGCGCGTTTCGTCCTATTTGGGACTCGCCAGCCGGATGTACCTAGTTATTATCAATTCCTAAATTATATGGGAGGTACATCATATAACTCATGAAAAATACTTCCTGATTTTCGAAAATAAAATGACTGTAATGGATAATTGGTTTAGTAAGGAAAGTGATTATTATTGTCTATACGAATATTACACAGATATATAAATAATAAAATTAAATTATCACATGGTTGTTTCCCTTTCTGAGATAGATACTTGTATAGATTTTGATCATCTTCCTAGTGTGAATACACATTGTTGATGAGTTATGTACTAAGACAAGGCAGGTATTCAATGATTCCTAATTAACCAAGATTGTTTAACTATGATCAATTCTGCGCAAACCTTTTACGTTAATGAACTCATCTTTCATTTCGACAGTCAACTATTTCAATGTTCCAAACGATTTCAAATACATCTCTACCGATAAATAACTCTTCGAAAGGAATAACTCAGTGCAGTTAACATTTATGCTAAGTTTGTTACACTTAACGAACCTAATTAACTGAATGTCCCTAGTCAACCATCTTGATTTTTCATCAGTGTAGCTGCTAAACTGAAGTAGTAGTTCGAATTCCTTATCGGACACTTGCTTTTTAAGTTCTATAATACTACAAAGCTTGATTGGAGAACATTAGAACTGAAAGCAGAAGTTTAAGATTATATAATGAAGTTCCAGTGCAAACTATACTGGAATGTGGAAAAAGTAGGACGTTCCCTTCAGACAACCAGGATTTGCAGCAATTTTGCGTTCCTAAAAATCGGAGGTTACGGAAGACCGATCCCAAAAATAGCATACCTTAGTTCGCCACACACATCTTCATCGCCGGCAACCAGGTCTACAAAATACGGAGTCAGCCCTTCAAGAACTCACAAAATGTCCGTAGGTAACCAATCGCAAGCAATTATCCCCACGATTATGCTGTCACTAACTTCACTAGTGATCCACCTTTGTCAAGTCCATCCAAAAGTATTCTTCCATATTGTGAGGAACTGTTCACGACCAAACCATCCAGCTCAGAGAACAAAACACCACCAAGAACTGTTCATACAATTCTAACAGAACACGATAGTATGGCTTTAACATTGTACCACTTATTTCCGTTTAAGTAGTTAACTAGTATCTCTAACTGTAACACATAAATTGTGAGGCATACATAACTACATAAAAAAACGAACAATGCAGTGTGTTAAGATATCACTTTGTTTACTGAACCGTGACTGATCACCTATAAGAAATAAGTTAAGTATGCAAACAAAAATTACTAACACCCTAATTCATGATATGTTCTTTATTAATTACTCTTAAATGTTTAACAAACAACTATAAACTCTTTTCGATGGGGTGTTGTTTACGAAGTTGTGAAGACGAAAAGCGAATGTCCGGCACTTTAACCAGGTTAATGCACAAGGAGAGTCAACCTAGGGAAGTTTAAAAACCCTGATTCCAAACCAATGATGTATATCAGTTCCAGTATCTTGAAGGAACAAATTGAGCATGAACCTATTATTGGTCACCGGCTAACATGAAACTGCATCGCCATATGTTTCTCCACTGCCTTATGGATTAGAACTTCAGGTTAAAGACTCGGGGGAAGGTGGCCCTCTAAGAAAACCACCCGCTTTGGTTTGGGCAATCGAGAAGTATCCTAGCCCTCGCACAAATCGAATGATTTATGTAGCGCATATCTATTTGATGCCTCCGCGTCAGTCAGCTACAACGTAGGACCAGGCACATATATGCATCGGTCCTAGTTGCCATACCGCATTAGCACACCAAGATCAACACCGGATTCATAGGAGTGGTTAAGTCAATGATGGTGATATATAAAAGAAAGATTGCATATAAGGACATAGTACAGGAAGAAAGAATTAGTACGTAGAAAGAAAGATATGAAGCGATTTTAACCTCTTAGTTTAAGGGAAGACAGTGAGTGTATACACCAACGCCATTATGATCGATTCTGATCTATGTCACCAAGAGTCTCCAACCATTGGTTACGATAGTCACGCGGACCTCAACCAAGTAGTCTGCATCTCCCAACATGGCTCAGACTAGAAGTTAGTGTCTTCAAGCACTGATGCCACGTTTCGGTTTGGCCGCCCCTAACTTTCTTCTAACATTTCCAACACCGGTTAGCATTGCACGTCTTGGTAATCAGTGTTCAGCCATACGTAACACGTGGCCCAGCCGTCTCAGTCGATGAAGATTCACAACCTGATCAACTGATTTACCATCATTCCTTAATACCCTGCGTCTAACCTCACTATTACTAACCCGGTGATCCTAGCAGATGCGAGAAATATTTCTAAGTCATCTGTGGTCAAATACTAGTAGCGTAAGAGTATCTTCGACCCTTAATGGCCATGTTTCGCATCCGTAAAGTAAAACAGAACGAACTGCCTCCTTGTACCAATGTTTATGTGTTTAAATAAATAAAATATCAACAATAATGAATCATTTACATAATACATAGTACCATTTCATGAATTGAATTCAATGAATAAAAGTAAATTACAATCTTTATCATTATATTTCATATATAAATTACAATGGAAATCTACAGAACTGTACAATAATCAATAATAAGGTATAGATAATCTTTTCATTATTGTTATGTACATTCATCCATTTATAATAAATATGATATCATTAGAAATTACAACTGAAAAGAGCTGGAAAGAATTGTCCAGGACAGGGTTAGATGGAGAATGCTGGTGGTGAGCGGCCTATGCTCTTTCACAAGGAGTAACAGGCGTAAGTAAGTAAGTAAGTAAGAAAGTATTTATCATTAAAAGAGAGATACTATTATTGTGTTAATAATTCCGGTGGTAAATGACCAACATCTCCAAGGCGATTAAGTGTTACTATTGAACCATATCTTAATTGTTTTGTATGTTTCACTTCCTGATCATTATTATCATCACTATTATGATTATGATTATCTTCTTTAGAATGAATTATGAATTCATCATTTGTAATTATGAATGTACTAATACTTCCATGTCCTAAACTTAAACGTAACCATCCTTCAATTGGTAATTGTAATAATTTACAAATCCAATAACGAAATACATTAGCATGACCAATAAATACAATTGTTTCAATTGGTTTATATTCTATCATACGATGACATGGACAATCACATTGAATTATATTTATAATAGAATTATTGTTTAAAATAGAACAACAATGATTAGGACAATAGAATGGACCATTATATGCAATAAGACCTTGTTTTGTAATTGGTTTACAATGTAAATGTATTTGAAATCCTTTATCGATACGTATACCTTCTGTTGAACGAATATTATCAGATTTTTTTGTAGACGCTTTAACACCATCACCACCCGAAAAAAAATGAAATGAAACATTCATGTAAGAATAACAACAGTAAATGAGGATTTCACACATATGAACAGTGGTAACCGTACTTAAGATTCAATACGATTAATACAATATACATAAATATATATATTACTAATATGTTAATAGTTAAAAAACCACTCACAATTCAAACAGATGAGGTTGAATCTATTAAATTTGACTGCTTTTCATATACTTACAATATGGATATGGAGGATCCACCGAACGAATGGTACAAATGGTCTCCAGTATGAACCTATTGTTGGTCACCGGTTACCATGGAACAACTCTTAATTTTGTTGCTCCACTGCCTTGCAGATTAGACTTTTAAGTCAAGCACTCCGGATGTGGCCTCCTAAGGACGTCACCGAGCAGTATCCCAGCCTCTCACACAAATTGAATAATTTATGTGGCCCCCAAATGACGTGTTACGGCCGAGAGTGGAGAGAGTCTGCTCTCCCTCTCGAAATTCTCTCACATGCCAGGGAAGTCCTACTCACTGCCTTCTCGTGACGGGGGTGTTGCTTACGAAATCGAGAGGACGAAAAGCGGATGTCCGGCGCTTTAACCGGGTTGCTGAACATGGAGAGTCCGCCCAAGGAAGTTGGGAAAACATAATTCCAAACCAATTGTTCACATGGGCTCTAGTACCCTGAGGGAACATATGACGTATAAACTAATTATTGGTCACCGGCTATCATGGGACTGCATCTCCTTACGATGCTCCACTGGCTTGTGGACCAGACCTTCAGGTCGAAGGCTCCGGGTGTGGCCCCTAAGAAAACCACCTGCTTCGGTTTGGGCACCCGGGCAGTATTACAGCCCTCATACATATCAAATGAGATCTGTGTGACGCATATGTATTTGGTGCCTCCATGTACCAATATCTATGTGTTAAAACAAATATCTATGTGCATCATTATACCAACATTTGTGTTTTTAAATAAATAAATAAAATGATAAAATACATTTTTTTCAAACAACACAAATAGAATGTAAGTAAGAGAAGAGTCAATTCTCAATGATTTCATCAACATTAATTGAGAATCTTCATGCCAATAACAACCGTTTCCCTGAATTGTTAGCATGTTTTAAATTACAGCCGATACACACATTGTTTTAGCCTTGTACCCAAAAGAAACCTAGTTAGATTTCTTGCATGTAGAGCTAGGAGGATATACTCAGACGACATAATGAATAAAGAACTAGAGCCCATTCATAATATGTTGATTGAAATAGGTTATCCACAAGGTTTCCTGAGGAAACACTTGCATTTAAGAAACAGGAAAATAGCGGCATCAACAAGTAGTAGGAACGCTCTCTTCCTGAAGCTGCAATTCAACGGGGATATAGCTGGTGATGTGCTACAGGATAGACAGACTAGAGAAACGAAGAGAACTGTTAGTGCAGTTAACCTGTTTATCGTTCTCGATCTGATCTTTGGTGATTCTTCAACTAAAGGATAAGTTGCTCGGTTTCGCAACATCTGTGTGTATCTACGATCTCAGATGCTTCTGTGGAGAAATCTATTTTAGGTATTCAAACAGACAACTCAAACAACGAGTGAGTGAACACCTCTCTTTGAGGATGGCAAAAAGTATGGCCAAAACAATACGCAGCTCTGTTCTATCACATTTGATCGGTAGCGGTCATGTAGTAGATAGAAATAGGTCATCTAAAGTGATTTATAGTATTCCTACTAATTTTGCTTATGAGTTTCCATCTCGTCTTTTTGACATAGCAGAAACTATAGGGATTCAACCTAACAATCCAACTCTTTCTATTCATAAGATTTTTCTAACACCCTTATCTCTCTTGGTCTCATTAACTTTGGTAAAATATTTTGTTTATTGTCATTTCACCACACCCCTTGTTCATTTTTCCTCACTCCCTTTATCCGAATATATGCCCCTTTGTCCAATTATCCGGACACTTATTATTACATAATCTTGTAGTTTTTATGAATATTATTTCAGCATCTATATATTTCAAGTCACTGACCTATTTCCCATCCTAATTCATTCATACTACTCTGTACTTTAATTAACACATCTTGAGTAGATGTTTGGATTAAACAAGTATAAGTTATTTATTTTCTTGGAGAAACTAGATTCGTGATTTTACATTTTGTTTCACATTAACCAGTTTTACTCAGTGGTTAATAGACTACATCTGACTTACTAAAACTCTGCCAACTGAATAAGCAGATAGTATTTAGTGTTGTCTCTTTAGAATGGTCCACATTTAAAACGTGCTTTAACATCTCAAACTCAGTGGAAAAAACAAAATCCATTATTATATATTTATCTGGGACTGGAAAACATATGCGTTCGACTTACATGTTGGTGGAACAGGAGCAACAGGAGGTGGACCCTCAGTAAGATAACGTGATAGTTGACAATCGAACATGGCACCCGCATAAGGTATATATGGATTGTCAGTCATTGGTATTTTCACTGGAGAATTTGATTTAGACTTTGAAATTGTATTTTTTTGGTTAGATTTTTGTGTAACAGGGTATGATTTAGGATCATCTGACTCGGATGAATACGGTATAACAAGTTGAACAATTTCTTGTGAATCAAACAGATCGTCAACATTATTTTGTAAGCCAATTAGAACAGCAGCTGTAGTTTGTCGAGCACGGATTAAATCTGAGTGTATAATGCGATCAATTCTAAGAAAAGATATGTGGGACATTGAAGTATTAAAAGACAGTAAGGGTGAACAAATGGAACTAGAACAGTTTCATATAAGGACTACTTATAGAATTTTAAATAAACTTGAAAATGCGTGAGTGGAACAAGCTCGAAAAACTAATGATAATGGAAATTATAAAAATGACATAACTATAGCAGATTAGTTTACTGTATAGTCAGTCAGTAACAACGTAGAACCTTGTACGTATGTACATCGGTCTAAGTTACCATACCCCACTAGCACAGAGAGATTAAGTTTTCAGACGAAACCACAGAATAGTAGAGGTAGTAACACTGAATAAAGCCATTAATAATAATAAATTAATAATAATAATAATAATATTATCAGTGCTAATAGGAAAGATTAGGCATCGGAGATACAACTCGGAAAGAATATATAAATTAATGAGATAAAAACACAAAAAGTTATGAGGAATTTAGAATCTCAAGATTTGGGGGAGGCAAAGAATTGATGTATCTGCACCATTTTGGGCCATGTCATCCAAAGTCTCTAACCAACGGTTACGATAATCACGCGGACTATAACCAGGTTGTCTATACCCACTAACATTTCCAGGTTCAATTATCAGTAACTTCATCGACTGGTGACATGTTTTGGTTTGGGCGCCCCCAGATTTCTTACAGCCTACTGTTGCACCAGAAAACATCACTCGTCGAGGTAAGCAGTGGTTGTCCACATGTAACGCATGTCCCAACAACCTTAGTTGATGAAGATTTACTACCTGTTTAGTTGAATACCTATGTTTACCTAGTACTCTCTTCCTAGCCCAGACACTGATTACTCCGTGGTCTCAAAATGCACGAGAGATGCTTCGTAAACGTCAGTGATCGAATGCCAGTAACCTACGAATATTCCCTACTCTTAATGCCCATGTTTTACATCCATTAATTAGAAAGGAGCGAACTGCTGAGCAGTTAACTCTCCCTTCGGTTGGAAGACGGATATCTCCCCGACGCCACAAATTGCATGAGTTGGCGAAAGCCAACCAAGACTTCTGAATCGGTGCCAAGATTTCGTCAGACACCAGACCATCAGGACTGATAAGACTCCCAAGATAAATGAAGCGATCGATGCGCTCAACTACTTCACTTCCTTCAGGCGATGACGCAAGCCAATCTTGAAGTTACATGTTACATGTGAAGGGAGAGAATCGCATCCCGAACATGGTCGCATTGTTGCCTAAGGTGGTGAGAAGACTACATTTTGTCAGCATCTTCACCAAACAGGACTATATCATCTGAGTATTCTATGTCAGCCAGTGAATCTCCTAGTAGAACATCAATCCCTAAAAAGTCAGACGATGAGTTATCACTAAGAGCATGTCTATGACAAAGTTACGTAAAAATGGAGGAAAAGGACGAGCTTTCGCAAGGCTAATGCACTTCTTTGGTACATCTTCTGATGATACACACTGACATAGAAACTCACAATCAACGGAGTCGAACGCTTTAAGGTCAAGGAATACTGTTTTGTAAGATTATGGGATTTGCAAGAAAGTTCTCTGAACACCATTTGTGTGTATTTAGCACCAGCTAGGTAAAAACTGAATATTTTAGAATTAGTTCATGTACATCTGAGTATAGGCAATTACAATCAGATTGAATAGTAGTTCGATTAACCATTCTTTATGTCTAATTTTCCATTGCGGTTGATGATACACTTAAAACTTTCCCGTTCGTCGTTTTGTCAACTCCCAATTTGATTATATTATTATGAAGAGTAGCAACTTCGACCGATACAAATTTGTGCAAGGTAATACGGTATCAGTGGGAAGCAAAACATTTTTGTCAGTAAAACATTCAAAAGCCGACCAGTTGTTAGGAATATAGTAAGATTCTGTATTTATTACTATTAAACCACAGTGAACCATGGTCACGGAATATACGATTTGATAATAAATGGAGTTATGTCATTGATTTAAGCACTCGCCTTACTACGATTTTCAGTGGTGATAATATAGTTTTAATGCCCTAAATCCTAAAATTCCAAATCCTCATAAGTCATTTCGTGTTTTTATCTCACTAATCTATATATACTTTCCGAGTTGTGTCTCCGGTGCCTAATCTTTCCTATTAGCACTGATAATGTTACTACCTCTACTATTCTGGGATTTCATCTGAAAACTTTATCTCTCTGTGCTAATGGGGCGTGGTAACTTAGACCGATGTATATACGTACGAGGTTCTATGTTATGACTGACTGTTAATTCTGGGATTATAAAATAGGTATGATGGAATGAACCGTCGTCAAATAACTGGGAGGGTTATTTGGCTTCACTAAGCCACTTTTTATTAACGGGAATTGGTGAAATAAGTTGCAACCCCACTACAAAACAACATAGCTACTTGAAAGCCTCAAGATACGTCCAATGAACAAAGGAAATAATGTTCGACGAAAACTAAGCTTCCATTGAATTTACTAGGACGTATTTTAATAGACAACAAAGCAAAACTGATAATTCAGTAGTCGTGAACAGATTTCTACGTATTAGATAGTTAATAAAGAGTCATATTTCAAACCTAAAACATGTAGTCCAAAACGTTATCCAAAAGTCACAACCACACAAGCAATACTTCACAATGCAAAGCTAAAACACTCAAATTTCACTGATTACTAAGATAAAATCTGCAGATGAATAGGAAGTATGAGAATTATGTACAATCAATATCACATTTAAGCCTACTTAATTCCCATTTCCCTAAGTCGACAACCTGCAGCATAAGCTTGTCGCCAACCAATATCGGTGAGGACCTTTTCCTCCGATTTCTTTCTATTCAAATGATACTGTCCATGACGTATAAAAATAATTAATTTATGATAAGATCGCTGATGTTTTACTACGTTAAGTGTATCTGGTTTTAATCCGAACTTTGAATCATCGTGTATACCTATAAAAATAAACAATAAGACGATGGTTAACATTTCAAGACGATAAAAGTCATTATATACCATGTGACTTATCCCAGTTGTAGTTCCAGTGTTGAATTTTCAAATCAGATCCAAGAGAATGTACACTACAGTATACGGATGCTGCTGTGAGAAATCTGAACCCAAATGTTCTAAAATGCCACATTGCAAGATGTAGAGGACAAGCGCTTATGTGCAGAATCCGGTTACTCGACAGTCTGAAAGAGATAAGCATTGCATTAGCTAGTTTACAATATGAATATAGAAAAAAAATGGACTCTTCTATCGTTTTGCTTGTAGTTGAATTATGAAGTCATACTACGGGCGAAACGGCAAAGCCATAAACGACATAAGATCTAGCACGACACTATAGACATGTCCGTACTACACAGAACGATAAAGTCGAAATATTTGTTAATGGATGGATGTTCCTCGATTTTCTATTCCTTTAAAATGTACGAAGACCTGGAACTATTTAAGTGGTCTTAATTGATAACATGTATTTAAATAGGTACTTGGAGCAAACTAATGAAACAAAATGCCATCCTGTCTAATCTTATATGTTTGGACAGAAAAAGCACTGATAACAAAAAACATTCTAAACTGAAGTATTCAAGCCAAGTTTTATGAAAAGTGAATCACTGCAGGTCATGTTTTATCTAGCAAATGAAAATATAGAGCAACATAAATGAGAATCCAAACAAACCCATAAACTACAGTAAAAGATTTGCGGAAAACGACAATAAGTACTTCCAGCTCTCATGTTCAAAAAAGAAAAGGAACAAAGAAATAGTAATGACTACAACAGGTACGCTACCACAGCCAATTTTGAGCTATTTTATGGCTAACAGCAGCCGTAGTAAGAATCCAATACTTTACTCATAAATTTTCAATGGCCCAAAAGGAACTAATATCCCTAACAATCACTTATCCTGGTCATTTCGAGAAAGAGGTGCTGACTGATTGGGGGAAAAACTAAGAGCACCTGGTAACGTTACTCAAGAGATTGGGTGTTTGAAAACTATCAGCACAGTTTTAGTTATGCCCATACAAGCTAATAATTTTACGCAGACTAAAGAAGTGCTACATTCTTCAGTCCACTAACATTATGCATAAATAAGGATGCAACTGTAATGTAACCCAATCTTTCTATTTTGGTGTAAACTTCTTCTTCAAAGCTTTTAGGAAAATCCTCAAAATACTAGCGGAAATTTCGGGTTTACGCCAATATTTACTCAGAATATTATAACACTTCGAGGTTTTTCACCAAAATTTAAAGAAAACTAACAAATTTTTCACGACTTTGTGGTAAGCCTTAAAACTTATAAATTTTGAGCAATTACCCGAAATCCCTCAACGTTTCTCTAAAATAGGTAAATTGCGAACTGAATTCGCAGGATTAGATATTTGCGGTCATGGATGACCTTCAGTCTTCAACAAAAAGTATAATAAATCGCTGGGTCTGCGTTAATCATTGTAGCTTGTTCTCCAGTAGAGATTCTGCCTCTATTTAAAATTTTCATGGATGGGGCTGATTACACTTGTTTTTATATAGCTTGGTCGCGCATCCACACCAACAGCGGTTGGGTACTTCGTTCTGTGCATTCCTTGCAACGACTAGCCAGCCTAGATCAAAAGCTTTTCAACACATTGGCAGCCTACCAAATATGACATCGAACTCATTCATTTCTGATTAGACTGGTTTTATGCTGTCCGGTTATGAAAGAGTTACGGATAAACTTGTTGTCAAACCCTGAATATCTGTGACATCACATTGGCGGACAAACATTTGCCTCGTATTTAGTAAGTTAGTAACTGCTTATTCCTTAACCCATGTTTCTCAGAAGTCAACAGGCTAGATAATTCCACACCGAGTAACTAAGCCTTGGTTATTTTTAAAAAATACATCGGTTACTATTCTGGTATGACTGATAGGTTGGTAGTTAGACACAATCTGCCCCATTCCATAAGTAAAAACATGGCAAAAACAGTATTTTTTCCAATCCTTAGGGGGTTGAGTTATAGAAACCTCTATATCGAGCTGCGTCGTGAGTGATTCTGAAATAGTGTCTGCTTGGAACGATATTAATTGTGGGTGTGCAACTACTTACGTTTTGTTATAAAGAACTTAATAAAGATCCGTCGACGTCAAAACATCATAGCTCAAATATTTATTTACCTACTTATCTTGCGTATATTTTGATATTTTCCATTATCCTATCTCGAATTTTGAAAGGTCCGTATGTTTAGATTAGGAGATCGAACTCCAACTGCTGTGTCACACAATGTGAATCAAAGCCTGATCCAACAGGCAAAGTCCAATTAAATATGAGAACACCTGATATTCATGCAACTCAACCAGCACCCAACAAACCCACATAATTGGAATACGGAATAACGGCTTCGTGTCAGGCCCTTTAAGGTCGTTGAAACGGAACGGCGGGCGGCTTTGAAAGGACCTGACTTTTTACCGTGCCTCCAACACCTCTTCTGACTTATGCCGTAGATAAAGCTAGGGGCAAATACCAGCATTAAATCGATGATATTAGTTTTGAGAACAAGTCATTCCTATTTCAAAAATTTTTCGCTTCATGTAAATGAATTACTAACTGTAGCAAAATCATCCGTTCTACTCTTCGCTGATGACATAAAAATTTGGAGGCCCATACACAGTAAGCTGGAAAGGATAGTGTTATAGGGTGATCATAGCTCATTGCTGGCATGCTTGGACAGGTGGTCACTAGAGGTAAATACTAATAAGTGTGTGGTGATGCAATTAAATAACTATGATGAATCGTATCACTATACAATATGTGGATTTTTACTATCAAAAGTAGGAAACTATAATGATTTAAGAGTCATATTAAGCAGTGATCTCAAAACCACTAGTCACTGTAAGGCTGCTGCTGTGAACAGCCATAGAGTATTATGGTCTATTCGTAGGTCTTTCCAGTATTTAGATGATGAAATGTTTAGATTATTATACCCGATTTATGTGCGACCATATTTAGAACATGGGATTCAAGCAGCGAGTCCTTGTTTCAAGTATAAAGCAGATATGCTAGAAAGAGTCTAACGACGAGGTACTAAGATGGTGCGCTGTCTATCCGACCTATCTTATGAAGACAGACTGAGACACCTTAACTTATTTCCGTTATCTTACCGTAGAGTACGGGGTGATCTAATATTGGCTGATCTTATACTGAACGATGACCTTGGTATTAACATATCTTATCTTTTGCTCCCGTCTAGAACCGATCATTTGAGAGGACATACGAAGAAAACTCAAAAACCGAGATCAAACCGTTTACGTCTGGAGTTCCGTTTCTCGCACCGTTTAGTGAATTACTGGAATTCTCTACCGGAACACGTAATATCAGCACCGTCTGTTAATATATTTAAAACGAGATTGGACCTCCACAGTATTACAAACTGCAAGGATTAATATAGGTCGACAGAACTCCTACCCTTATTACTGAAGACTGAAGACTGATGATACCTTTGTACTTGTTGAATGCTCGATTTCGAATTCCAAGTACAATGCATTCGCTTGTACTTGTGTTTTACTTTCTAATTCAATTGCGTTATTTCTGGGACTCTTAGTTCTTGCTATAATTCAAATAATTCGAAACATTATATTGGCGTCGCGATGGAGCCTGCAATGGAAAATTTAGATATTCATTCAACTACTGAAGCTTTTGAGGATTACTTGGAAAGGTTCGAAATCTGGAGCATGACCAAGAAAGATGTTAAAGGTGATAAAATTGTGGCACATTTTCTGACATTCATAGGGAGAGAAGCGTACAGCTTATTAAAAACTTTGTCATATCCAGAAAAACCTATCTCACTCCCTTATGCAACTCTTAAAGAGCTATTATTAAGTCATGTAAAATGCACCAGTTATGAAAGCCGTGAAAGGGCGAAGTTTCGTCAAAATGACCAAAAGGCTCAGGAATTCATCCTTGAATTACAGAAACAAGCTGCCAAGTGTAATTTCGGTGATCAACTTCATGTGCAACTGAGAGATCGATTAATTGCAGGAATTAACATATCGAGTTTGGAAAGAGAGATGCTAGAACTGCGTGTATTAACTACGAAGCAGTCAAGGAACTTGATATCCAGTCGATGAAGATTTCTAATACTTTGCTTAGTCGTTTTGATGAACTACAATCTCAGGGTCAATCAAACTTGCGTTCATTTAACAGTGATTCCTATTCTCGTGTAAATATGAAAGGTGTTTCAACGAGGAATTACAAAGCAAATCACAAAGGTGAGATGAAAGTGGAAAGTTTCATGCTCGCAATTCATGTGTATTTTGTAATGCTAATGTTAATCTTACTGCAACTAATTTTAAGTCTTGTAATTCTGATTCTACTGAGTCGAGTATTCATGATGATCATTTATCTTTATCAACGATTTCAAAAGACAGTGAAGAGTCATATGGCAGTTCGGAGTTAGATGAAATCCCGGATTCTTGTTAGACAACTGTTCCTAATCAACCGATTTATCAGAATTCTCATGCTATTGTACCAAGTGTGACTTTTCCTAATGATTCATATATTTCTAATAAAACTACTTGCATTTCTGAGGAAAATATGTTAAATGAACGTAATCATGATCGAAAACCTGATGTGGTTTGGATAGATGCTGATTTTGTTAACGATCCTACGCTCTGCAATAACAGTCCTAATGAATTTCATGAGAAAATTTCAGAAGAACCAAATCCTGATGTCATATCATATATTGCCGATCCTCTTAATGCATTTGATCCTTGTGAAAAACCTGCTCAATGCGAAGCACGAGTACTAAGTGACCTCGAGTTTGATTACATTTCGGATGATTTCATATCAACTGCTGTTTACCCTTATCACAAAAACAGTTCTAATGTTTACTCTAAACAATGTGAAAAATATGTTTTAAATGAAGCCACATTATTTATGACTTGGGGATATAAAGATCCAACATTATTTCGTGGGGGAGGATAGTGTTGGAAAATCTATGGTTCGAATTCTAGATATTAATGATTTCATTACAAAACCGACATGCTGGTTGTATACAATTCCAGGTGAGTCTGTTCCGATTTCGTTTGTTAATTCCAATACTAATGAGCACTTTCTAGATACTACAAAGTTTTTATCTTATACAATGTCGGACAGACTCAGAATGAACTTAACAAGAAGACGTACATCCGATTACAAACACTTATACACCTATTTAAGTTGTGGCGGATGTGGTGTTTGAATGGACTAATGATACTCGAATTCCAAATACAATACATTCGCTTGTGCTTGTGTCTTACTTTTTAATTCGATTGCGTTAATTCTGGGACTCTTAGTTCGTGCTATAATTCAAATAATTCGAAACATTATAGCTTTATGAGGTATTGTCTAGTGTTTCACTAGTTTGGCTTTGATGCAATATGGTCTAGTCTATATATTACGGTTCTTTCAAGTACTCAGTCACTTAGTATTAACTCGGTCACCGATGCTATTATTGTATTATAAGTAATATCTCGTGCAAGAAACTAAAATATTCAAATCTAAACGTTATAGTAAAACTAGAAGAATAAGCATGCAATAATTCTTTAAGTGCTTGTTATATCTTACGCAACTTATTCTTCTTTGATAAGTCGATGTTTCATCTTAGTTCGAACAATTATTTTATAATTCAGTGTAGAAGTACTTTTGCTTATGTTTATCACCATTAGCTCTATTGAAATTATTCTCTTCGGCATAATCATTCACTTCTCTTATTGTAATATTCTGTTATTATATATAAGCTTTTTACCATATCTATCTCCGTCTACATTTGCTAGTAATTTGTCCGCTACGTATTTGGATATATAAACTAGGTTATACTTAAAGAATTTGGCTAAAGCTGATTTGTACATCACATTTTGATGCAGTTTTTTTCTGTGAACTGGATGGTTTAGTCATGGGGCTTTTATCGTTCTTCTGAACGACATCATCAGCATAAAATTCAGGTAGAAGTGAAGTGTTCGAATTTCTTCACCTGTGGTTCACAGCTTGTCCTGTAGACCTTGATGTTGAATAGTTCTTGTTGACCAGCACATCACATTTTCTAACTTCACAACTTTTTACGATAACAATGTGAATTTTTGGAATTAAAATGTCTTCAATACATTCGTTTTTATTTCGTTGCATCACCCTTGTTATAATATTCAATACACAATGGTTACGTCCAACTTAATATATGGAGTTAATTAGGATCTATATTTCATCAATAGTCAGATGACAGACATTGTTTTTATTTTAGTAATAATCTTCAGTAAATATTTAAACCCTTTTTATTTATCTACAATGCCAGAAATTGAAATAAATAATTGTCCAACTTTTCTTACTTATTGTGCAATGTATTTTGTTGCTTAGGCCTAAAAATGTGTTTAATCACTCCAGACTACTTATCAAAATTGAGTAGTATGTCGTAATTGTTCAAAAAGTGAGTAGAGTAGAAAATAAATAGAACTATTGTGATGTATGCTACTGATGTTGATAGATTTAGGTAGTATGTATCATCAATCAAAAGTGAAATGTCTGATAGCAGAAAGTTAAGATTTAGATGGTGGTTGGAGGTATTCAACAGGAAACCCTGGACCCGGGTTTCGTGCTACTTGGCACTCGTCAGCAAGGTGTACCTGTAATCTTGAGGGAACTGGTGCTCCCTGGCGGATTCGACCTCGTGTCACCCAGCTTCACACTCAGAGACGTTACCACCGAGCTATCCGAGCCGTGACTAACCTCCTGTAGGACTGAGATGTAATCACAATTGCTGATTTCGTGCCAAGTTGCACGAAACCCGGGTCCAGGGTTTCCTGTTGACTACCTCCAACCACCATCTAAATCTCAATACATAGTGCCCGCAGTGTCTAGTCACCTAGACTGGTGGCCACATTGCAACATGATCGATAGCATTCGATCTGCACTAATAAGGACTAGACAAGCATGACATTGATCACCACCCAGTGATCAATCAATTGTGAGAAAGTTAAGAAGATCGAAGTAAATACGACGAGAACAGACAGTGATTCATGTGGAAGCACAGGAACTATGATATCTAGGACAATTGATCGACATTTTGCAAATTAAGTATTCACTGTATGATTCTCAGATTTTACTAAAATATTCTGTAATTTTGTGTTTAACTACATTCGATTAGTCTCCACTAGTGTCCTCGTCCACTACACTATGAATTTTATCCGAAAACACATTATGTGATGTTCTGAATTGCTATCTCCTAGACACTGCATAATGTTTATCAGAAAGATTCCCAACGTTTTTGTTCATTCTGATTAAACAACTGGTTGTGTTTTTCTTAAAGCTTCAAATAACATGAGACAATTTTCTGATGAAGTTATGTTTGATTAGTCCTTCTGATTTACAGTTGAAATGCCAACTTCAAAGTTTGGGCAGTACCCTTGACATAAAATACAAATACGTTTTAATATCATAAAGGAATGAAACGTGTTTTATTTCAATGAACGCATGGTAAAATACCTAACGGTTATAACTCTATACGTTCAATCTGTGATATTACTGAAGTAAGCATTGATTTAAGTCAATTGATTAACTTAAAGATTTTTAGTGATTTACGAATAGAAAAGTGATTAGTTATCTCATATTATAGAAGGAGTAAAGGTTCTGTCAACTAATTTTACTTACTTTTACTTACGCTTGTTAGCCACAATGGAGAAGCATAGGCATACATCTCGAACAATCCGATCACATATTATATACTTGTTAAGAACATTTATATCTGAAAAATAATAGGTCAACTAGACAAAAAATGGAGGGTAAGAGGAGACGAGGATAATAAAGCAGATAATGTGAAAACAATTTGAAACCTTATCACTCAGGATAATATGGTAATATTGCCAAGGTAGGTTTAAGAGGAGAACAGACTGTTTTTGAATACACACAAAGAGGGTTTGAATTTTCGTATGGCTAAGGCTTCAATAAACCTTAGTATACGCCCTTTTACACTTTTATACAACACCAAAAAAGCCAAGTTATAACCTGTTTCAACTATGTGTTTGGCAATAGAGGATGATGGACCGTTATCTTCCATTCTTATTGAATCAGTCGATTCTGTTTGTTTCTGCAACCATTTTAGTACATGGCCTAAGCTGATGAAGTCTTGTTCTCTGAGCTGGACGGTTTAGTCATGGATCTTTCATCTTTCTTCTGAACGACATTATCAGCACAAACTTCAGGTGAAAGTGAAGTGTTCGAATTTCTCCACATGTGGTTCACAAATTGTCCTGTAGACCACTTGTATTTATGTTTAATATCATAATGAAGAATGATCTGAAAAATTTCTACAGAATATTTCATGATGTTGTTGAAAAAGTAGTTGTAGTATGTTGTATTGGTTTATTGAAATAAAACTCTCTGACCTATTCAAGTCTATTTCTCACATATACTAACTGTCCAGTGTATGAACAATGGAAAAGATTGTGAATACATGTGATTGTATTATTATTTCAGTATATATAATGAATAAATGATGACATGGAAATGAATAAAAAGTGGTTCGACATTACCTCTTTTAATAACTGAGATCATCAGTCAAATAAAGCTAGATCATCATGGAAAACCTTGGAACACTGGATGGCTGTTTCGTCCTCAGTAGTGAGCACCCACGATCCTTCACGTGGAACTCGAACGCAGCACCTTCGGTCACGCTCGCTAACACTTGAACTGTAGATCACTGAGTTGACATCACATGGTGTTAGTATCTAAATTCAACTAAACCACGAAATTGTGCCACCATCTACCATTGTCATCAGTAAGTTACAATCTCACAACAGACATGGTTAAACTTCATTTGTCATTGCTTCTCATTAGAACTTTAAAAAAATACCACTTGAAGCCAGTCACCAGTGGATAATTTTTTATAGTTGAATTCATGTGTCAATTTAAGCTAGATCATCATAGAAAACTTGGATACACTGGACGACCATTTCACCCTAGTACAACTGTTCACATCCACAAACTCACCTCACGGGATTCGAACCTAGGATCTATCAATCTCTAGAGAAAGTGTTTACCCACTAGAGAAATAAATAAACACTATTTATATAAACAATTATTTCATCCTATCAATGTTAATTCATATCACTATTTAAATTTCCCTCATTGAAATTATTATCCCAATTCTGATTGGTTTATTTATGTCATATTGATTGATAAATCCATTTCTTTGAATATTTTTTTAATCCCTTAAGCAAGAAACCCTTAAAAATGATGTAATTGAGTACAAAGAAAGTTACCTTTGTATTATTATCACCATTACCATCATTACTGTTGCTGTCAATAATGTAGTGAACGGAACACGGGTGGGGACAATTAGAGTTACTTGGTAAAATAGAAAAACCATGTAGCAAGTCGTTAATTTGCAAAATATCAATCCCTCATATCAACTTGGACTGTTCCTGTCGCAAAAATCAATCCATTAACTCACATTTCATCGTTCATGCGTTTTCTAACAAATTGCTTAGTGTTCACGCCCTTCCTTTCTTGATCTTCCCCCATCTTCTGTTGCCAGACATTACGTTTTTAACTCGCGTCATATACTACTAACAACAATATAAGTAGCAGGCACCACACTATTACCATTATTATTACTATTAGTAATATTACTATTACCATTACCATTACAATTATTACTATGACTATTATTATTGTTCAAAAGATTTACCGAACCATAAATATATACGCAATTATTATTCAATCATCAATGAATAGATCATTCGCATAGGTGTGTGTGTGTGTGGATATATATACATAATGAAACGAATCAATTGTAAGTTTTCTTTTGCTATTGTATGTTTTTATGATGTAATCAACCATTTCATTGTAAATCAAATGGATCTATCCAAGTATCTATCTATCTATCTATCTGTCTATATGAGTTTGTATTGATATTAAACTTTCCAATTACTTGTTGTTACGCAATAATAATAATAATAATAATAATAATAATAATAATAATAGTAACCAACCAAACAAAAGAATAACGATAAAAAGGGATTTCATACAAAAAAAAGGTTTAAATAATTACTTTGTTGTATCTTAGAGAATTCACGTATCTAGATGTATATGTGCATATGTGCGTGTGTGATATGGTGTGTGTGTGTGTGAGTGAGTGTGTGAGATTATACATATAATGAATGATCAACCGTTTCTAGTTAATGAAACAACTGAATTGAAAGAAAATCTTTTTATGGAATATTAAACTATAATGATTATTTGGAAAAATTAATAGTTAAGCTAATCTCAATCATAGAAATTGTAATGATTTCAACATTTTGTTCAGGAGTTTTATTTCAACTTCTTCATGGAAAAAACTCAAACAAGATGAATCATTGAATTTATGAGTCATTTGAAGGTAGATGATCATGAAAAACCCGAAAGAACAGGAGAGAGAGCTTTGATGAGTCGGAATTTTCGATGTGAACTGTTGAGGAATCCCATACTAGAACGAAACGATTGTCCAATGCTTCCAAGTTTATCATGGTGATCTAATTTCATCAATTGACTCATGAATTCAACTATTAAAATTACTATCATAACCAAAAACTCTTTCGTTGATTATAATCAAACAAGATTTTTGGATAAGACGTTAGAATCATTTGAATTTCATGAATAATGATTTTTTTTTAATACTAGGTGACTAGATCCTACCAAAACGGTTCAAATGGTTTTGTACGGAATAGGAAAAGCTTTCGGTTAATGGGCTTCCATATCTAGTAGCAGAGGATCACCATTACCTCCAGGGAGGAATCTCTGTTTTTTATCGATAAAAAATGTAAAAAAGAAAAAAAGTTCGCAAATCCTTAGTTCTTAAGAATATGTCAAGTTTTCTCTTGAAGGACTCCTGTGAAGTTGCTTTGACTAGCTCAGCCGGGAGGGAATTCCAGCATTTGACTATTCTTAAGGAGTAGTAGTTGTGTCTACAGTTCGTTCTCATGTGTTTCGTCTCCAGTTTCTGGGTGTTACTCCTAAGTTTTGTGTTGGGACTAAGCTTAAATAGGTGACTTAGGGAATGTTCTCAAGTGCTAAGGATACTGGAAGTCATTAGAAGGTCAGGTCTAAGACGCTCGTAGTGTAATGGGTAAATGTTCAGTGATCAGAGACGTTATTCTTAAGACTCGGATTTGAGTCCGCGAACTGATTTCGTGGCTGGCCGTTGCATTCGTTCCAGAGTGTTCTCATCCTTTTGCAGTGAGGGGGGAAATTCTATGTTTCCGTACCCTAAATGAGGACGAATGAAACTGTTTAAGATTATGTGGTAAGTTCTGTCGAGTTGGTCAAAAATGAGTTTCAATGCTACCAGTGCATGGTTTTTCGAAAAGCATTTTTGTCGCGGTTAGCGTAAAACTTCAGATCGTAGGATACCTGAACTCCTAGTTCACTTTCAGCTTGAGATACCTATAGAGGCGAGCTAGCTAATTTGTAGTTTTAGTCTGCAACATGTCTCAGACTTTAGACTTTGAAGTCTTTTTAAGGTAAGTCTGTTGTCATCTGCCCAACTTTGAAGATCGTTTATAGAAATTAAGAAAAGAAGAGGTTCTAGTACTGAACCCTGTGAGACATTCCGTAGCCTGAGATAAAGTGAAGTTAACGCTGACCTCGCAATGTCGATTTTTTGGATATGAAGTGAGGTAATCAATTAAAGGTGATTTGATACCCAACCGTTTGAGGTGACTGATAAGACATATATGGGTGACCTTATCAAAAGCTTTTGAGAAGTAATGATAAACGACATAAACCTTCCCCTTGAGATCAAGAGTGGTTGTCCATCGGTTCACCGTGGTCAACAGGTTGGTTACACAAGAGTGACCTTTTCTAAGAGCATGTTGTTTGGGTGAAAACAAATTTATGGATAATAAATAGTCGCGTAAACGATCAAATATCAGGGTCCCATAATTTTTGAGAGTAAAGAGAGAAGTGCTACCGGTCGATAGCTTGAAAGTTTGCTGCGTCGAACTCCTTAGAAAATCGACATGATTTGAGCTAGCTTCTCATCTTATGGTGGCATTCCTCAGCTTAGTGAATGTGAGAGCATCACTCTAAATGGTGTTGCTAAGATTGAAGTTGTTTGACCGGATTCAAAATATTCCTTCAAATATCGACCAATATTCACTGATTTGATCAGTGTGTTGGTTGATTGTTAACTGTCAAACTTCTAAAAAATGTTTAATTTGATTTATGTTAACTTTATCCAAATTTAGTTTGCATAATTATTAATAAATTTATACAGACTGACAATATTTCGATGTATGCTACATAGGTTGACAAATATAAGTAGTATATACACCGGTCAGAGCTGAAATGCTAGTCCATCAAGGTTGAGAAGATTCAACTGAAGAAAACAGAGATGTAGGGAGATACATCATAAGGGAATCCATATTTGTAACAATCATGAACGATGAAATGAACAATTGATGAAAGATATACAAATGAAGTATTCAATGAATGGTTTTTATAATCTACAAAGAACTACTTACTTGCGCGTGTTACTCCCATTGCAGCATAGGTCGCCCATCACTATCCTCAATTCAACACTATCCTGGGAAATACTTTCCAGCTCCTTCCAGTTCTAATTCATCCTTTCCATATCTGCTTCCAGTTCTTCACATAGTGTGTTGTTCAGCCTTCCACTCTTCCACTTCTCTTCAAGATTACAAGTCAGGGCTTGCCTCGTGATCCAGTTCGATGATTTACGTAATGTATATTCTATTCATTTTCATCATCTCTTCCTAATTTCCTCTTCAACTCAAAGCTGGTTTGTTCTCTCTCACAGAAGGCTGTTGCTGATAGTATCCGACCAATTCGGGATGTTGAGTATCTTGCATAGACAACTATTCATAAATACTTGTACCTTGTTGATGATGGTTGTAGTAGTTGTGCAAGTTTCATCTCCGTACAGTAGAACTGCTTTGACAATCGTATTGAAGATTGTGACTTTGACATTTGTTGATAGTTGTTTTGAGTTCCGTATGTTCTACAATTGTAGGAATGCTGCCCTTACTTTTCCAATCCTAAACTTTACGTCTGCATCTGGTCCACCTTGTTCATCGATGATGCTGTCCAGGTAAGTGAAGGATTCCAGAGTTTTTCCATCAAGTGTGATTGTTTTGGTGTTCTCCGTGTTGCAATTGAGGATCTTGCTCTTCTCCTTGTGTATATTGAGGCCTACTGATTCAGATACTTCTGCTACACTAGTTGTGCTCATTTGCATTTGTTCACGTATATCAGATAGGAGGGCTAACGAGGTAACTGTTTCATCTTAATTACAAAAAACACCATTGATATTATTTGTCTCAAAGAGAATAATTTAAAAGTATTTATCTGAAGTTCAATAGTGGCTAGTAGTAAAATCCAGGACGTGAGTTTCATCCTATTTGTAACTCATGAGCTGGATGTATCTGCACCCTGGATTTCATGTTCTAATAAGCAACAAACGAGAAGAAACAAGTAAACAAAATGTCAAGCCAGTTATTGTTTGAATTATTGAAAAAGAAAACTACAAAGACTTGTGGTGGTCCCCAAACAAAAGGAGCTTACACAAAATATATTGATACACTAGGTTAACAATGATATACCAAAACAAATTAATGATTAAGAAACCTAGATGTCTGTCCGTTAGTAAAAACAAAGGTAATAAAATACCGTTAGCAATACAAAAGGTATATTAAACAAAACAGACGCTAACAGTTACTATAGAATGAATGTTACTTGTGAACTGCCTCGTGAGGACAACGACCACAAACTGAGTTCACTTGATTGACAGGTGTTCCTCTGAAAGTGACTGCACCAAAGACGTAATGAGGAAGACGGAGTCCAATAGTATTATACAATAGTAATCCGTGCCAAAAGTCCAACGTTGAGTCGGAAGGCCTATAATGATGTTATAATACTATTATAGTCTTCAATCAAAACGGTGGCCAATAAAACAGAAGAACAAACGGCGAAGGTTGTGTTCTATATTTTAAACCACCCGGGAGTAGAAGTGTATATCATTCATCGAAACAATTATCATCGTCTTTTTAACAAGTGATACAGCAAAACAACAGATATTGAATAAAAATGTGGTTACAACTAAAGTGTGACAAATTAGAGAAACAAAAATGTGGTTTTTATTTTTGTTGTTACAAAAATCACTGAATATATGTCACCATAGACTACTGAAGTTTGAAGACGTTGACTGATTACAAAATGAAAATGATTAGTAATTTCGATTTTTAAACTATTGTAGCAGCAGCATAAGCAGCAGTAGGTCTCAAC